CCTCTCCTTATTGGCAGCGCATGGGTACCTCTACTAACCCATCCACGACTTTCCCTTACCAAGGGGCAGCTGGCAATAGAATCTTGTTGAATCACGAAGTGAACAATACACGGCCTGTTGGTGACTGGATATCACATCTACCCCAAGGTTCTCTCGGCAGCGTAGCTGAAGATCGCAGAACCCAGGCACTGTATCCCTTCAATCAATCAGCTGGTGACCTGTGGACTGCGTCTCCTTCATTTTGGTCTTCTCATCAAGCGGAACACAGTCAAGCTTCTGCGTACCTTGGAGTAAACACCGGTGTCGTAGACAGTTTATCCAGGACATCAGGCGTCCAATCCTTGGCCCACCTAAACCCATTGGCCTCGCACCGATCTAATTCCTTCAGCTCCATAAACCCTTCTCCTTCTAGAGGAACTTCAAAGCACACTCCCGGCTCTGCATCGGTTAATGCCTACCCTAAAGCATGGCCTCAGTCTTACGATTCCGCACCATGGCCTACAGCTCCAGGGTTGTCTTCAAATGAAGAAAACGAGACCTTTGGCCTTGTGGATACTGGGTACCTTGGCATGAACAAGGAGGTTGGAACTGCTCGCTCAAACACGATCACGGATCCCTCCTTTTCATCTTCCGATGCTCCTTCGATGGAGCTGCTCTCCGGTCAAAGCATCACTTCGTCACTTGGACGACAATCCAGCGAGCCTCGACTTGCTGAAGAGGATGAGGTCAGTGCAGATACCGACATACAAGAACGAGACTGACGAGTATTATAGAACCTCAATTTCCTCCAATTGCTTCAACCGAATGCACGGCCTCCATATCACGTACTTGTATATCGCATTGTCAAAAAATCCGATCAACAAGCCTCGATCTTTATACAGCAAAAGTTGAAGAACGCCTCAACTGAGGAAAGAACCCGAATTGTCAATGCTATAGTTGAGCGAGGGCAAGAGATGATGCAAGGTCGTTTTGGAAACTGGTGCGTTCAGCGTTGCTTGGAAAGTCCGTGCACCAGGGAAGACAGGATGAAGATTGTGAAGTGTATGGTGTAAGTAATACGATCCTCCTCGCCCGTTCCGATCTAACATCGCCTGTGTCCGTAGTGGTCGTATTGTAGAATTAGCCACCAACTGCTATGGCACTCATGTCGTGCAAAAAGCATTGGAGTGTGAAGAAGATATCAAACGTATTATTGTTGGCGAACTTCTGGCCAACGACCCTGCTTATACATTAACTTCTAAGCACTGCAGGTGAGCATTGGTCCTCATTTCCTATCGACATGAACTAAATTCTCATGTAGCCATGTCTGGGCCAAGGTCATGGAACTCAGTTGGCACGAGGGTCCCGCTCCACCGATTTTCCCAGTGTAAGTAACCTCATTGTTCGATCAATTCATGAAACTGATCTTATGTCTCATCAGTGTAAACCGTTCCCTCCGTGGTAAATGGGCTAGCCTCGCATGTCATGAAACTGGCTCCCTTGGTACGTCTTTCCGTAATTGTCTTATCTCCTCTAATAAAATTGTAGTGGTACAAACCATGTTCGAGAATATGGACGACGCTAACGATAAGCGAGTCATTGTTGATGAGATTCTCGAAAATCTCGATGACGTCGTAAAAAATCAATGGGGAGCTTTTGTGATTCAGCACAGTAAGTTTTGATATGCGAATTGTCGAAGATGCCGTCTAATACCGGATTCCAGTAATTGAACATGGCAGCGCCGATGTGTCTCATCGCACTTCCCTATCTCTCATCTCCAATATTGCAGCTTATGGCACCCACGACATTGCTGTCAAATCTATCTTAAAAGTCCTCAAGGAGAAGGACTCTGTGACTCGCGAGGCGTTAATTTCTAAGATGTGCGAACCCAACATCAACAATGGTCGGAACAAACGTCCAATTATTGTCGACTTGGCTCTATCCGCCAATGGGAGCCAGATTATTCAAGCAGTATTGCCCGAGGTGATTGTCTCCTAAATATGCAAGGTGCAGATACTGAGCATCGGTAATCCAGGCCAACAAAGACCAGCGTGCTCGTCTTTACGAGGCAGTAAAAGGACATACTGTTACCCTGAGAGGGTAAGTCACTTCGATAGATACTGCGATCTCGCTTACACTACCTTTCAGGTGTAAAACTGGCTCTCGTGTCATTTGGCTTTTTGATCGCATGGTATGTTTTACATCGCAAAAATGTGGATTACCATTAAACCTTTAGTTTTAGCGCGCTTATTACGGTTACTGATTACCAAATGTTTCTTCCCACTGGTGTTTGCTTGTCCATCGTTCCTTACTTTTTCGAAATCCTGTTCAGTCGTCAATCAAGAAAAGGATGCAGATCGAGCTGGTAGCCAGAATCCCCTCAATCAATGCATCCAACTATCCCTCCGAAGTCGCTCTAATTGCATCATCTTTTGTCATACTATTCATCGCAGTACCAACTTCACTCCACGTCCACTTATCTCGCACACCGCCGACGAATTTCATCCTCGCAGGCATCTCTAGTCATTCACTCATCAAAAATTCATACTTGCACTGAATCTCCGTTGTTCGCACCCTGACGGACACACGTCTGGGCCGGTCACGTTTTCATCTATTATATTTTGCCTCGCTGGCAAGCTCAAAACCTCTTTGAGGTGTCGCAGTAGTGACGCTGAATCTGCTGCTTTTACTTTCATCTATTGCCGCAATACGACTTGATCGATAACCTTTTCCGGATATTCTGATCGTCGTTACTTGCACGCATATATTTTCACATCCAATAAAAATGCAAATTTTTCTCACCCTGTCCTACGCTTTAGTTGTTGAGATATGTTACTCATTCGAAGGCCCTCCGGGCAATCCTGACCTGTCTTGAATAATAAGACATTTCTATCATAAGAAGGAAACGCCTCAAAAGTAATCAATCGCGTTGAACGTCAAAGCAATAAGTCTATCCATGTAAAGCTGTTATATACATTAGGAGAATACATTCTTGTTGACGCAGAGCTCTTGTTTCTTGAGCCTTCCTACCCTATTTTACCCTCCTCCTTTCCAGTAAACTTCCCAGCACGAGGCCAATTGTTGGTTTTCTTCGTCTTCAAGTTTGTTCCTTTGCTCGGGCCTGAATTGGATTCGTCCTCACCCTTCTTCACTTTTGCATCTGATCCTTCTCCGGGCTCGGGGTTCGAATCGTTGGCAGATACTTTCAAGACAAACCCAAGGAGACAGGTCTCTCATCTGAGTTTGCGGTGAAATGGAAATGCCAACGAAATGACGTCGTAAGTCCTAAGAGACAGACTTAGCATCTTCGTAACGGGGTTGCAGACGGTCGCCACGATCCTGAAGGCTACAAGAGTACCATCTTTCAACATCACCTTCAAATGACAAGGCTTCATTGAGACATCTTGGATGCTCCTCCGAGTCAGGAACATATCCCTAAGTCTCACGAAGACGGCCATATGGGGCTCAGCCCACCGACCAAGGGGGTACGTCGTAGCACCGCGATTAGCTACAAATGCGTCAATATACCATCAGACA